TGCTAAGGCAGCCCTTGGCTTACCGGTCCAACGGTCATCCGTACCAGAGGTACGCCTAAGGATATCTGTAAACCTCCAATACCAATCGGTATTTATCAATATCAAACTATCGTTAGATCAAGAGTCTTCGTAATTTGCTGCGTTAACCGCTGGGCTTTGTTACGTCTGTCGTACTTATGGAATCATGCTTTGGTTCCCTATGGCGGCTGCAAGACGCGTTCTTTAGTTGCTTGTAACAAGAAGTGGTGACCACGCTCCGAGCATAAGTAACTGTATAACGTAAGGCGCAATGCAGCTCGCAAGTTAGGAGTATGGAGATAATCGAAAATCGACTAACTATTACCGCTTCTACACGGTTCGCTGCCCAGACCTGATGGCGTTATATCTTACAATCTCGGAGCAAAAGTTGCCTACTGAATAGAGGTGTTTTTGCAAGCCTGAAAACAGAGCTATTGGCGTTCCTACGGCGTAGACATTGTCCCGCGTCATCTGGGACGACCGTTCCTAGCGAAGGAAAGTTTATACGGCCCCTCAGGCAGTCTAGGAGGTTCTCACGCCTTGATGTGCGTCCGGCTGCCTGAACAAGCTGTCCATATCCCCACTGCCACCCACCCACATAACACTTCCACATACGCACACATGCTGGTGCCGCCTTTCCTTCAGACTGCGGTGTGCACACTACCATTTTCCGTCGTGCACGTTATGCACGGCAAGCCAGTTTCGCCACCGTACGGCAGCAGCTGGGCGTGGTCATTGCGATCACCCTACAATGAACCGCAATGACCGCGGCCAGCTGCTTCGCAAGAAACCCTCGATGATTGCTGTGGAAAAGTGTGAACATGTGTGAATCAAAAACGCAAACTATAAGATTCGGCTCGGGGGCACATATCCATGAGGCACCTGGTCTGGAGTTATGATCATATTGGAAGGAAAATAATGTTGCATATAGGGCATAACAGGTTGTGATAGTGGTTCGTGCGTTTTGCGGCTTGCCCTTTGCGGCTTACGGGAGCCGCCGGGGACTTCGAAGACTTCTGACGGTCATGTCGAGATACGTAGACGTCCCAGAATGCGTGCAAGGTTGTGCACTAGGTACTCCTGTAGGATTTTTAGGATCTTGCGCAGACCACAGGCATGGTGATCCTCTCAACACAATACGTAACCGACTACCTGCATATAGAACTCGTGTGCAGTGCGCGGCCAGGATACCAAAGGCAAGTCCTTCTGCAAACGGACGCAGTGGTGTTACAACAACTTTTACGCGAGGGCCCTTGAAAACTTAAGTTACGGACAAGTTAAACTTCGACGTCGCAAGCTCGACACGCAAGCAACATTGCCAGCAGTTACGGCCAGGAGGTCAACCAAACATACTTGTACACATTGAGGTGATTCCAGGGATTCCGCTTTAGTTTGGGCACTCTTACGTTGCCGAGCGGGGGCTTCGGCAAGAAACGCATACTAGACCCACCTGCTAGGAATGGAATAGCCACAATGCGCGGCACAATGCTTTGTGCTCCTCAAAGTGCTTTCGCTGGCATTCCTGGTTACAGTACCATGCACTGTTGCAGGCCCCGCAGCGCAGCAGCTTGCCCGGTGCAACCTTGCAGCAGGCCGCACAAGATACCCCTGCATCAACCACATGTCGTGGATCCATACTTATACATGTCATGTTTTTCTTTGTCCACGTCCTGTTTCCACAAGGATTGCCTGTCAAGTGGACCTTCAACCTTCCCACAAATATCAGGGTGCATCATAACTTAATCGCACTTCCATATGATCGCCGAAAAAACGCTGCATGTATAGATCCATTTAGACCAGCTCAAGGTTTCGGAGCACGGGCTGAAAAACTGTCAACAACTATCAACTTCAGAAAGGCCAGAGCGTTCACATTTCGTTGTGAAAACTTGTAAGGTAGTATGCTATTATCGTCTCCCCTATCGACTCCCTAACGCTTATCCGTCTGGCTTTAAGGGTTGAGAGCCCTGGTAGCGCACTTCTCCCTTTAAATTCAAGGACTACTAGAATGGGGAGGCGGAAAAAGAAGCATACAGCTTTTGTGGTTGGCGATTCGCAGGAGTTCCTTGCAATGGCAGAGGAGGTTCGTCCCGTTGAGGACCTCTCAGCTCAAGCTTCGCAAATGCTAACGCTCACATTTGACACTCTTGAACCCTAAGTCCCAAGGGGAAATCCAATCGTCCATCCTTGAATACCTCAAAAGACTACACTATAACTCAACGGGATACTGGTTGTCCATCCACCTTTTTCACTGTTGAACTTCCACTTGCGCAACGAACCCTCTCCTCGCTCCTCCCTATCGCCACCTGCTCCTCATAATTAGGGGTTCGAAACCGCCTATGTGCAAATAGGCGGCGTGCGGATCACCAATCACGGCCTCAGCCGGTCCCACGGCGCTCGCGGCAAGTCGCCGCATCAGAAACCGTGGCGGTCTCTGTCCCAACATCAACCGCGGCTGCGGGCCCCCCGGCGCGCTGATGCAGACAGCGACGGTGACGACGACGGTGATGGCGGCGACGGCTGCAGCAGCGACGTGCTGGAAGAGGATTTGCAGGACTACCTGGAAAATGTACTGGGCGCCGCCGATATCGGCAGTAGCAAGCGGAGCGGCGCCGGTAGCAAGGCTTGTAGCAGTAGCGCAGGGCGCAGGCGTCCCGCCGCTGTCCCCGTCGCCGCCGCCACCTCCGCCCACGGGCCAGGTCGGCACCCCCCCTGGAGTTTGGGCTTTCCCGTCGGTGGTCCGAGAGACTTTGAGGAATCCTCCGCAGCGGAGTTCCGAGTGCCGGTACGGCATATGCAATCCTGTCGTACGTCCTTCTTTCCATGTACGGCAACAAGGCCGTACATCATTCATTGCTTGCTCGTTTGGTTCGCATTGCATTTGATCTATTGGTTCCAAGGCGTGTTCGACGGCTGGCTCATAGCTAAGGCTTGATGTGACCCGTGGGTCAAAGTTCCCGTGGGTCAAAGTTCCCATGGGCCAATGGGCGCTTTTTCGCTCCAAAGCTTCTAGCACCACATCCATTTGCACTGAACTTTAGTTTGGAATTACAGTTCGCATTCAAGTCGTTTTCTTGCCCACCCCGCCTACCCGCCACCCTGGTCCATTTTGCTGTGTCATCCTCCAATCCGTTTTTTCTGGATCCAGCTGCAGTTTTTGCCGTGCGAACCCTAGGTGTAGGAGATTATGAGACAAGTATGTATATAAATATATATATTTATATATACTAGTACTAGTAGTATATATTATTATTATACTAGGGTTTGGCACCACTGGTAAGGCGCGACCATTGCCCCCGGGAGATCCCGGGATCGATACCCCTTAGGGTCAAAAGTCCTTCCGATGGTGGAAGGCATTGCGCCCCTAGTTGATGGACGGTGGTGACCTGGGATAAAGTTAACCTGCGAGCCGACCAGGAATGGAGTTGCGCCGCTGTCGACCCGGCAGATTCCGTTGGATGCTGGTGGTGGGTGCGGAACCTGAGCGATCCACTGAGAAGTTGACTAGGGTGACTGGATGAGGGTGCCCCGAAATACCGGGGAAGGCAGGGTTTCGCAGGGTAGCTGCCACGGGCGAAGATACACCCCCCTGTTTCACACATCATATACTACTACTATATATAGTATATATAAGTATATATAAGTATATATATACACATATATATACATATATATATACACATATATACACACATATATACACACACACATATATATATGTATTAGGACACGCAAACCGCAAGTCATGCCATGCGTGCTGTGCCATGTGCCATGTGCAGGTGGGTTTAGGCCGACGGCGAGCTCTTGCTGGGATACATGCAGGCGGCAGTGATGGTGATGACGGCGACGAGGATGGTGGCGCGGAGGAGGAGGAGGAGGGGGAAGGGGAGGGGGACAAAGTGGTCAGGAGGGCTGTGGAAGGACTGGACAACGGAGAGGATGAGCTGAGAGGGGAGGAGGAGGAAGATGAGGACGAAGGAGGAGAAGAAGAAGAAGAAGAAGAAGAAGAAGAAGAAGAAGAAGAAGACGAAGAGGAGGAAGAGGAGGAAGAAGACGAGGAGGTGCGAGATGACGCTGCGATGCTTCGCAGGCTGCTGATCGGCTTTGCGGGTCGAGATCTGGACGAGTCGGAGGGTGAGGAAGAAGGCGGCGGCCAGGGCAACCTGTACGAAGGTATGCGTGTGCCGTACAATGTGATCTTGTACGACGTGTTCGTGATATTCTTGTGGGTCTTTGTGAGACCGTGAGACTCCTAGGATGGATCTGTACGACATGGCTGTACGAGTGTTGGATGTGCGTTTTGAACCTGTGTCAGCTCAGTACTGTCCTATTCAACTGGAACTTCCAGACATCAACAAAACAACAAAAGCAATGTTAGCGTGTAATATCGGTGTGGGCCGACAGGTTACAGGACGGATTCGCTCCGCCTAGGTCTGGGCTCTTTTCTAAATAAGGAGTATTAGAAACATGTGCTTCTAGATTATTTCTTAATTGTGAGTGAGTGAATGATGGATATCCAACCTGGGCTCCCTCCCGAGTATAAACACTCGTTGCTTAGGAGGCCGTAACAACTTCTATCGTACGATGTCTCTTCAGATCACCAGTCGATATCCCGACAGTACACACATAACAGTTGTTGCAACCGAGGTGTCGTACCATCACAACCTCCATCTTAAAAAGTAGCAATGCATTTCCCGCCACCACCATGATTACCGCAAATGCCATGTTCACCACCACCACTACAACTACCGCAACCACCACAATCGATGTTTACCGTGCAGTTCTGCTAGCGAGCGGTGTCGGCGGCGACAGCGACGAAGATGTCCGACGAAGTGAAGGCAATGACGATGAGGATGATGAGGAAGAGTGCGAAGGTCTGCCGTACGGTCGGCGGCTCGGGCTAGGACGCCACGACAACCACCCTAACCACCGTAACCGTCACGGCAGCACCGCCGGTGGCCGCGGGCAAGAGCCTCACCGCACCGGTACCATGCCTTACTATTACGAGTACTTGTACGACAATAATGGCAAGGAGGAGATGGCGGTGGTGGACGCGGCGGCGGCGGTGGAGGTTGGGACCGGCACGTCACCGGGGGCTGACCGGGGGCGGCAACAGCGGCAACGGCAGCTGAAACAGGGCCATGAAGAACAGGCCAGCGGCGGCGGCGGAGGTGGCGGCGGCGATAACGTAGGGAAGCGGGCCGGCGGCGCCGAAGCGAAAGAGTCAGGCGAGGCGACGGCAGCTGAGGCAGCGGACGCTGGTGGACCGTCGGCAGGAAGGGAGGAGGTCGAAGAGGAGCTGGGAGGTGTGGGGCTCGCGGCCGCGGAGGCTTATCCCACCGCTCAGATAACCCGATTTCCCTTCTTCATAAAGACTCGGGAGGAGGTGCGAGCCGCGACGGCGGCATCAGCTTTTGCTCTTATGGCCTCGGCTGCGAGCGGTAGGTTCGTTGACCAGGAAGGGGGAAGGAAGAACGGTGGCGGCCCGATTTCTGATGCCGGTTTTTTTCGTATACGGTACGGCACGGTGTCTACGAATGCACAAATGACACGTACTTTGTTCTCCAACTCCTGCGATGTCAAAATCTTCACACATGTTTTTTTTGCTGTGCTGGATATTTTTATCCTTGTCCTTGAAAACGCCACAAAGCCAACATGTCCGGGGGTGGTTGGTCGGTATTTCCCATGTGCCGTACAGGGGGCGCCACGCCCTCTGCGCCCACTCGTTCTTTACGTAATCGCCAACAGCAGTACCAGCAGCAGCAACGCCAACATCAACAGCGGGAGTTTCCGCAGCAGCAGCAGCAGCAGCAGGAGGGGAGACAGAGGAGCGCCGTGAAGGGGGCGCTTGGCGGACTGCTGCGCCCGGGCGAGAAGAAGAAGCTGAAGAAAGAGAAAATGCAGGCAGGCAGGGCTGATGATGGCTGGTTGTGCTCGGTGTCCTCTGTCCTGCCCTGTCGTGTCCTGGGGGGATTCTGGAACGCTACTGCTCCTCCCTCAAAGCAAAGTAGATGTAAATGTGTCAGCATTCGTCGGCCGAGGCAAACCCCCAGGCTGCCCTAACCTCTTAACGGTTTTCCTCAAAGTGGTGGTCGAGCTCTCGGAATTTATTTTTATTAATCGGAATTAAAAAATAAAATGAAATAACTCGTTGGGCCCCCTGGACCTAACTCAACACCGCGGCGGCGCCGGCCGTTCCTTTCGCTGAGCAGGCCAAACGCGCGGCGCGGGAGGCCGTACGAGGCTTTGATGTCGTACGAGTGGCCGAGCAAATTGCGGATTTCGTCTCCGGCGAGGGCGACGTCCTGGCTTTGGATCCTATGGGGAAGCACGGCATGGCCGTGGCGCAGTCGCTGGCTGGTGTGTACGGCCTTAAGCATTCCGTACAGGTCCGTACAACACCGAGATCCCTTTTGCTGCAAGAGATGATCTTTATGTGTATGCATGTATATATGTATGTATGTGTGTATGTGTATGTGTGTATATGTATGTATGTATGACTTAGATTACATTGTGGGCCGCGAGAGCCGGGGGCCGAAGCCGAAACACAGCGCAAGGGTCGGGAGCACACAGCACAAGTCGGTTAGTCTTGTGTGCTCCCGACCCCGACTCAGACTGCCAACACTCTACGCAGCCACTCCGCTGCCCCTCCATCCGGGGATGGCGCTGCAGCGAATACACCACGAAGGGCTCTCAGGTCCCGCTAGAGCGAGTCCACAAGTCTCAGCTAGGGCAAAGTCAAAGGCTCTCTGAAACAACCCCCCAAAACACCACCACCAACACAGGGAAGAAAAACCCGAACAACGAAATAAGACGGCTAGGGTAGCCCAGGCAGGGGAGGGCTCTTGCTACACGTAACAACCCCCAAAAGAAAAACCTCCAAGAAAGAAAGGCGTAGAGAGCTCGAACCACAAGACGTCTTTCAACCACCTAACGACAACTGACCTCCTCTACCTGTCCCTTCCTGGGCTGGTCCAGGCGAGAAGTAACCAAACCAAAGGAAAGAGACCACGCACAAGCCCGAGGTGCCACCACTGCAGGTGCCCGGCACAGACCGGCGAGACCACAAGCGGGACAACGTAGCCGCGACACACAGCTCCTAGACCCTCCAGAATACCGCAGGGGGAGGATAGTAGCCCGCGCGGCGCCCTCTCTCCTATTCCCTTACCTCCAACCTCTATCCCCCTTCAACTCCCATACCCCGCCCGAGCCCTGCCCTACATACTAAGCTCAAAGCGCTCTTAGGCAATAATTTCTCACCGCATCGGCACACCGCAGCGCATCTTCTGAAACCGACATGGATCGGGTGGTGTATGTATGTATATCTATATGTATGTATATGTGTATATATATCTATATTTAGGCACTACTGGTAAGGCACGACCTTTGCCCCCGGGTAATCCCGGGATCGATACCCATCAGGGTCAAAAGTCCTTCCGATGGAGGATGGTAAAGTGCCCCTACTTGATGGACGGTGGTGACCTGGGATTAAGTTAACCCGCGAGCCGAACAGGAACGGAGTTGGGCCGCTGTCGATCCGGCAGATTCCGTTGGATGCCGGTGGTGGGTGCGGAACCTGGGCGATCCATTGAGAAGTTGACTAGGGTGACTGGATGAGGGTGCCCCAAAATACCGGGGAAGGCAGGGTTTCGCAGGGTAGCTGCCGCAGGGTGAAGATATGACCCCCCTGTTCCACACACACGTATATATGTATGTATATCCAATGTAGGGGATGTGCAAAGCCTACGATCTGTTTCTGTTTCTGTGCGTCCTCTGAGTCCTTCTACTCTCACACTTTTGCTTCCCCACTATTGCCTCACTGTGCTCTGCATTGAAAGTATCCTGAGCCCGTCTCTTAAAATTAAATATTAAACCTCCTTAAACTCTTCTTACTCTCACTCTCAAAATAACAGGGCGCTCGCAAGCACAAGTTTTTGCTGCTGCAACCGACAGACCGAACCAAGGCGCACGATGATTCGACCCGCGTTAAGGTGTGGTCGCGTGCGCATGCGTGTACGGCATTTTTGCAGCTGGCGTACGGCAGCGTACGGCAGTTTTGCATGTTTAACTGGGTGGTACTATCTGTGGATGTTCAAAGTTCGGCAGTGGGGAGATGTCTAGAAATTCAACGATGCTACTGAGCACCGACCCACCATCGCGCTCGAGAATGCGCCACAAAATTTGGTTCTGGGTAGGACAGGCATGTTTTACATTGCCGAAGATGCTCTGAATTGACTGCGATTCTTACATCTCTTTCGCCTTTGACTAAAGAGATCAGCGTAATCAATTCTACAAGGCGCCTCTACTATATACTTGCAGCGCTTTTGCGCGTCCAAGGCGAACCGAGAAAAAGTCAATTATCTGTGTTATGCCTTGTGGGGGTACGATATTGTTTGTGGGGGTACTTATTCACACCTATCCGTCCCTTCCCTTCGCCCCTCTCTCCCCTTCACACACCCCGCGCCAATAGGTGGACAAGATAGTGGCGGCTGAGCTCGTACGACAGCAGCGTGGCGCTGCCGCCGGTGCCGGTGTCGGCCCGGCGGGGATGGCGCTTCAGGATGTCACACCTGCATCAGTGGCGGCGACACGCCGGCGGGGCGGCGCTGGGAGGACCCCAGCGGCGACAGGTAGCGGCGGGAAAAAGAGTCGTACCGGCGGCAGCTACAGCCATCCCGTGGCGTTCGTACGCGGCGGTGTGTGGGAAGAGGACCCTGACCAGCACCAGCAACTGCTTCGACAACAGCAGCAGAAGGACGACGACGACGACGACGACGACGACGATGATGATGACAACGACGACGGCGCTGGCGGTGGCGGCGACGGCGACGGCAGTGGCGGCGGCACAACCCGCCGCCGCCGGCGCCCGGTAGTGACACCGAAAGCTGGGCGTGAGGAAGCAGATGATGATAATGATGACGATAATGATGACGATGATAATTACCATAATGTCTGCGATGATGGGTCTGTTTCAGAGTCTGAGGAGGACGATGAGGAGAACGATGAGGAGCCTCCTGACGGGGAGGAGAGTGAGCAGGAAGAGGAGGAAGAGGAGCTGCAGACACACCGGGGCCTCGGTATGACGGATGCCCAGCGTGACTGGCTGGCGGAGGCATTCGGTGGCCTGGGCTTCAGGTCCCGAACTGAGGATCAGGAGGATCAGGGGGAGGTAGGAGGCCGCCAGCAGCAGCAGCAGCAGCAGGAGGATGGAAACCGTCAGCCTACTGCTGCTACTGTCGCTACAGTCGGTATTTGCGGCGGTATTGTCCCTCCTTGGCCCCCCTCGTTCGTACCCGTTACAGAGCCGACGCTGGGCACTGGCACCCACACTGGTGTTGGTGGTGACGGGGACCCACGGCCTGTCGTACAAGCTGGTGGCGTGTCGTACTTTCGTGCGCACTTTCGCCTGGGTCCCGGTTACGATGCCGAGGATCGACAGATGCATGACAGGCGAACAACAGCGGCGGTGTCGCCTTCCGTCGCCGCCGCCGGTGTCGGTGACGACGGTAAAGGCCACCGCGGCTTAGGATTTCGGTACAGTGACCGTACGACCGCGTCTCTGGAGGTGCCGCCGCCGCAGCAGCAGCAGCAGCAGGACGTGGAGGCGGAGGAGGGAGGAGGTGCAGATTTGGGCGGGAAAGTGGACCTGCCTGATCAGGAGTTGCCTGATCAGGTCGCAGACGAGGGGGAATGGAAAACTGTACCGCGGGCCCGAGTGAAGCCGCAAAGGAAAGGCAGGGCAGGCACAGGTGGGGCGGTGGTGGCTGGCAGCAGCAGCAGCAGCAGCCACGGCGCCAGTGGCCGTGGCGGCGCGAATCAGCGGCTTTCCGCGCTGTCGAGAGCGGTGGTTTTGAACACGGCGGCGGGTGCGGCGGCGGCGGGCAGTGAGTTGGGTCGTACGGCACAGCAGGTACGGGTTGTACGGCGAAAGGAACTCGTGTTCCGGCCGCAAGAGGGTTGTGGTGGGGGTTTACAGGAGTAACGAAACGTAACGTAATGAAAACAGGCCCGTATTCCTGACGAAAATTCGAGAGCTCTCAGCCATCAGATACCCGATACCAGCATCACCTAGTTTAACTTCGTTCCCCTTCCTATTCGTCGCCTCTCTTAAATCATAAAACCCTTAAGCCCCCTAGGACCCTTACAACCCCCAGGCCAAGGCAATCGCTAGAAAGGCAGCCAAGGAGGCGCGCCGGCAGCAGCGCCAGCAGCAGCACTACCCGCAGGAGCACGAACAGTCGCCACAGCAGGGTACTCCTGAGTCGTTCCTTCCTGTGGGCGACAGCCCTGGAATGGAAACGGCCTGCCCTGCCTCCCTCAGCTACGAGTATGCTTCCTTCGAGCGTCATGGCACTGGTGAGCCGTTGGCGCGTGGCAGGGGGCCCAGGAGATAATGGCCGGGTGGCGTGGTTGGGGAGCGGTGGAGGGGAGCGGTGGAGGGAAAAAAGGGGCCACGGAAAGGGGAGAGATGGGGGGGCCAATGCGGCCTTGAGGGGATTGAATGATACTGTTAAAATCGCGCTGGGCAAGACGAGGTGGGCGACGGGGAGTGAGGTGAGGTGAGGTGAGGCGCGGCAAGTAAAATGCCAACAGGTGGGCGAGCGTGTTCGCGAAGAACGCGAAGCGCGTGGGTGAGCGTGAGAGGGCCTCCCTTCCCCGGGTTGGGTTGGGTTGGGGTGCTGTCATCCCGTTTCCCCTGCCACTCTTCTCCATCCCGCCATTTGCAGATGACTCTTCTTTCCTCCCGCTTCCTCCCCCTCTTCAGGCATCGGCTCCCGACTGATGGCTCGCATGGGCTGGTCAGCCGGAGACGGACTGGGTCGCGATCGACAAGGCAGAGCGGAGCCGCTGCGCGCCTTCATACGGCCCAAGAGCCTGGGGCTGGGGGCGGAGGGGTGAAGTGGGGGGTGATTTTGGTGGGAGTTCGAAAAATGGTTGCCTTTTGCTTGCTTTTGGCTGGCCTTATGCGGCGGAGAGCTTGGTGGGGGAGACCAATGGAGGCGGGGAAATGGGGAATGAGGTCAGCGGGCTCGCAGGGGTAATCTCAACACAGGTTAGTGGGTTGGTAAATGGCGTGAAGACGGGGGTTATCCGTTATTAGGAGGAGTCTTCCTTTACCTTACCTTCAAGAGGAGGGGTCTCAGTAATGGCGTCGGACTAAGTCTAAATAACGTTTTAGTAACACCGAAATGACCAGCCATGGGATGATCATGGCAAAGTCGAAGGATCGAAAGACGGAGGTCTTTCGCATCAGGAATCACCAAAGCGTGCTCACGAAACCAGAACCCATCACGCTGAGTAAGAGTAGCGAGATTGGAATGGTTAGCAAAACAAGGATTAGAAGCGTATCCGGCACGCACATCTGCTTGAAACGTTGGAAGAGAGCTGGAAAACTCAGAGATAGCGCCAGGCAGAGAAGCCAAATGCCCCAAAGCCTGAGTGGCGCGAATCGTCATAACCATCGGCGGCTGGTCAACAACCTCCCCTTGACGTTCCTGATCTTCAGATGGCTGAACAGCCTGGCCAAGCTCAATCTCCTCGCCCTCAAGTTCTGAAGGAGCCACCGCAAGTTGGCCATTCATGATAACTCAGGCGGCGGCAGCTAACGCGCACATGGCATTAGGACCTTCGCGCCCGGGGCCTCGCCCAAAAAAGCCCTTTGAGGCTAGCCCTTGATGGCTTCCCTGCCTTTCCTATGCATAGGGCAGCAGTTGTATGACACAGCTAGGGCAGCTATGTTCGCGTTGAGTGCAAAATTAGATAAGCTAAAGTTGTTCGCACCAGATGTGAGGATGAGGTGTTTCGATACCCAGGTACGAGCAATACTGTTGTATGGTTGTCAAGCGTGGGGGCCGTTTATGCTAGCTGAGGTCTTGGACAGGCTCAGGAGGCGGAGTGATGCGAGTAACCTTGCGGAGGGGCCCTTCGAGGCATGCCTAAAGGACAGAGCGGTGCAGCTTCAGATATCTTTCGTGCGACAAATTGTAGGAGCTGCCAGACCAACACACCGCCTCCTGTTTGCAGAGCTGTCGCAGCTACCCCAACACTACCACGTTTTCAAGCAGGTTGTGAGGTTTTGGAATCATGTCCGTTTACAGCGTGGGTCTGTGGCACACCAAGTTTTGCGACAGGAGGTCGCAGAGTCCCTCTCCAACCCCGAAGGGCCGGATGGGGGACACTACTCCTCCGTTTTCTATGTTTATATGGGCACGACGTATGGAAAGAGGCCCCGCAAGGGCTACACGAGGTAGACGAACGAGTGGAGTGGCTGATGAATAGTGTGAAGGTGTGGTTTGGGAGTTCGAGGACCGATTAGTGAGTGGTTGGAAGCATACGCGTTTAGATGTCAGCCAGACGTGTACCCGTCAGACGGCAAGCAACCAGGAATTCACATGGCGAAGTATAAGCATTGGATGGGTCTGGCGGCCGAACAAGCGGGCAGGAAGGAGGTGCTCCCGCATGTCACAATGTTTATCCCGCGTTCAGCGAATCGCAAGCTTATGCAGTTTAGGCTTTGCTGTTGGGCATTGGCGGCTAACGGAGCGCGTAAGGGACGGCTTTATATACCTAGAGTATGTCCTTGCTGCGGCACTGATAGTCATATCGAGGATGAGAAGCACATCTTGCTGGACTCTCCGGTGTACGACAAAATCAGATCTGATATGGATTTCCCACGCTTCGAGCACATGAAGGACGCTATGAAGTGGGAACCTGAACGCCTGGCAAGGATGCTGGAACGTATATGGTCCCCACCGCAACTCTATCGTTCCCTTTGGTCGATAGTCTCCTTTATCACTCGTTTCGTTTGAAGTGCGAGGTAGGATGGTGCTTATAGGCGATCTGGCAGCCCTTGAGCCCTCGGCTCGTATTTGGGTGCTTTGCAGGTACGGGGAACGCACCCACGACCATGTAACAACAACAACTGAGGTTTTGTGTCCAGTGAAGTTAGTACGGTCTGGCCAAGTTCTTTGTGAATAAGGCCCACAGTGTTGTGCGGGAGGCGTTCCTTGGGGCGCTGCACTCGACCCGTTCGGGGTCGGCTGTAACAAATAGCATTCTCACAACGGCTTACGATGCCGCTGAGTAACGGCGTGTCCTATCGCTGTTACTTACACCTGCCGATAACAAAACACATGAGTCGAAGCGGCTTTAACCCAGCGGCCAATAATACTACTCGCACAGCGAGCAGGGGGGCAGCGCAGTGCAGTCCACCTGGGTGAACGGCACGGGGGCATTCCGTGCGTATGGGCACTCCTGTACGTATGCAAGCATGTCTACAAGAGGCATTCCAGGTACCCCAAGTCGGCTGTCCGGGTCCCCGCAACCATATACCTAGCTGCACAATCAGATTTTCATCCCTCGGCCATGTCCTTTGGTGCTCAGCGACATCAGCGGATATCACGTCCACACCTCACCCAGATTCGCTTTAACCGTGCAGCCTCCCCTCCTTTTACGTGGGCTCTCAACGTGTGTGAAAAACACAGTTGTCCTCGACACCCGCATGTCAGGCCACACATTTGTTCTCCTTCTTTTGGGGTTCGCCCCAAAACATTTGCAACGTAAAGCAAGTCTGGTCCAACAGATGCTCGGCGGAACGTTTGAAACTCGCGGAGAGGAGGGACTCGCGAGAATTGCCATCCAGCCGGATCCACTGCGATGTACTTCTGTCCAATCTCAGGCTTCGTGGAGTGAGGATGATGGGCTGCATTAACGGGTCACACACGCCTTCGTCACTGCGGACGAAGTACGGACGTACGGAGTAGTGCGGACTGGTAGCCCATGCGGCTAAAATGGGCAAAACTTCCACCGATAGATTCCTGCAGAATCGATTGAATGGGACTCTCTTCACCGAAATGCTGCATGCCGCGCTTTCCATTAGGTGTGAAGGAACCCTCCCTTTACAGCTGCCAGCGCATATCTATACGCAGGACAGCAAGCAACGGAAGCCAAACGAATGCATTTCCGGGCATTAGGAATAAAACAGCACACCGCGTTAGCCACAGGCGGAGCGAGCACCACCAACCCAGCCGGCTCCTCAGCTATGCCCTTTCAAACATTACAGAGGCCATGCGAGCAGGCAGCCTTAATGTCATGGCAAATTCCAGCAACGCCCAAGCAAGGCAACAGGCAAAGCGCGGGCAAAGCATCGAAGGTTCAACGGAGGTGTGAACCTGCACCGCTAATCCGACCTCAGTATCTTGACGCCTCCTTGCAACCCGCACGCTTCCGTGTTACCGTGCAAGGCGCCATTGACGATGCAAAAATCCAAACTAATTCCGCTAAGGATAAAGAAACACTCCATGCACTAGCGCACGCGCTTCCTCATGGACTGTGCATTGGGCAGCAGCACAACCACCGAGCCGCAACCCTGGAAATGATCCGATACCTGCCGACGCGTAAAGAGAGAGCAGCCAGGAAGTTGAAAGAACCCTTCCGTGCGCCTCCTTCACGTCACACATCCATGCCGCGTGTGAGGTTCTCAAGGACATCACTTGAGGTCGTTCTCCAGCTTGGTGACGAGGTTGTTGAACTCCTCCAGCTTCTTGGCCTTGCTCATGTCCACAAGGCGGTCCTCAAACTCCAGGACAAAGCCACCCAGCAGCTTGCGGTCCACCTATGAAAGTGCGACACAGCAGTTGGGCAAGCTTGGGTAAAGGTTGAAAGTCTGTAAGTTGTAACGCCCATACGTGGAACAAAAGCCCGTATGAGAAGGTAATTCGCGCTCTCACGGCCCTTCAACATTCAGCAAGCGGGTCCGCCAAGGCGGGAGCGGACAATCCAACGGAACTCGTGTGCAATAGCCTCACGAACGCGGTACACACATATGTCAAAACATGTAGGACCAGTGCGACAGGAAGGGGGAAATAACGAGGTGAGGTGCTAGCAGTAACAATCAAACACGAACGCTAATCTGGCTGCATACCCCGATGCGTCATAAGACGCAGCTGTGGGGGAATAAACACTGGCCAGAGACGGACTTGAACTAGAACTAGGTTTCGCGCTTCGTCTTCGTTGAGAGTACGTTTGTTGGACTAGCTGGTGGTAGGCCAAATACTCCATATACTGTACAACACGTATCTCTGGAGCTACTCGCCACCTTGTTTTGACGACAAAACCTCTCAGGTTGCGCCGAAGCAACCCTTCAACCCTTGGGCTTCCTAATTTAATAAAATGGAAATTATGGACAGCGCTCATCTTGCGAAATCCGTCCCTCAGCGCATTGCATACCAGCTGCACAAGTCGTATGCTCAGTCGCCCAGTCTTCGGGGAGCTGCTCGCAACCAAAGACCGGTCTTAGGGTTTTGAACACCAGTGTCTGTTCCGAGAAAAACTTGGTGCAGATCGGTTGCATCTTGGGGTTGATGCTACAGCCCCACAGCATCTAGTGTGGTAGTCCGTCGGTTGCCTCATTTCCCCACAAAATGCCTCCCGCTGCTGCTGTTGCCTCACGTGCCCCCCCCCAATCCCTAGATACCTCTGCCTGGACGCTGTCAGCTGAATCTGGCTGTGGACGACTGCCCTGCGTGTTAAGAAGGCGCCCGGGAACACCCGCAACAGCGTACTGCAGGCGAGTTCCTGTGCGCTAGGCGCCAATTCCCAAGCATTAGGGCGACTCTGCCGTCCGCCCAGGAACATCCGCTAGCGCAATGGCACAAGCGGCTTATAGTGCGTTGCACGCACCGTCATTCACACGCCAACCACTCTTACAGTTCCTCACCACGCAGAATCTGCGTCCCCCTCCGTTACATCCCCACGCGCTCAAAACCACCGCGTCTTACCTTCTCTTTCATGACCAACTTGAAGCCGGGCTCAACAAAGGCCTGGGCTTGCTTGGTGAACACCGCACGCTCGGCGTCGTCCAGAGGCTGCGGGAGTGCGGGGACAAATCGAAATAATTGACGAGTCTGGTTTAAGCAGGTTAAGCAGGCGCATGCCAGCGCAGTGGGAATAGGGCACCAGCAGCTTATATCAGGGTCAGGCGGCCAGGCTCATTGGATGCGTGTGCAAAGGCGACGTCCACCACCAGGGAGTTGCACCATGAGCTGCAATTGTCCGCCAAAGCTTCTTCAGCGACATGCGCTCAGATGAAGCGGCAATGGAGCCTCAGCTGGCAGGCGACGGCTGGGACCATGCTTCACTGCGCGCTGAGGCGCACGCGCGCTCAAGACGTGCTACTCAACCTCTCCCCAACTGAATACTAGAAAGCAAACGGTCCAAAAGTTCGCCACGCTGCCGTGCTCCGAGACCACTGAATGGAGTGGACACGTCAGCTAAAGGTGCGTCACTTGAGCTGCCTTGAAGCTACCACCCGTGTTGAAGAAAGATACGTAACTGGTTCCCAACTCTAGGAACTGCATGCTGTCCACGACCCAATGCAACAAACTTGGGCGAAAAGAATGCCACAAATACAGAACAGGCAGTGCGACGGCAGGATGACGGACGAGCCTTGATCCACCATACATAAAAAAGGATTCTGCCACACCACCATTTGTAGTCTTGATCCCAATGATCCTGTGCTTCCCTCCAATTTACGAGTGCGGGCACTCGACAACCCTTACATACATATGCGAGACATTAGGTCTGGGCCATTACGCAGGTAGACCATCAGGGAAGAACCCAAAGCGGCGCTATCAGCAGACACAGCTCCGCTGCCCGTGACTGTGGCAAGCTCCCCATGTGCCACCAGAGCCACCAGCGTTCCCTTGCTACAACAACAGCTGCTTGCTGACCTGCTGCTGCTGATTGAAGATGAGGTACGGCTGCTGGTGATGCTCCTCCCTTGGTAAAAAAATACTCGTACCGTTCGCCATGTACAGTCTGGGGTACTTTCTAGGGCTTGACGCCAGGGCACTGCCGTGAGTCCCAAACTACCATTACCCCTCCTCCAGACGCCGCTGCTGCCGCCGCCACAGAAACAGCCCAGCATGAAGGAAGCCAAGGATTAGTTCCGGCTGCATTACCGCCTTGGGAGGCGCTCGTCGCTGCCCCCACGTCCGTCAGGCTGCTCCCTAGCTACTGCTCTTGAATGCGCTTCAATGCGAATGCGCTTCAATGCGAAACACCTGAACCGAACCCTTACTTGTCGCGGCCTGCGACCTTGAGCTGGTCGGAGGTGGCCAGGGCGCGTAAAAAGGATCACATAGCCCAACATGACATTTCTGCTTATTGTGAGACTCTCGGACGAAAAGCCACCAATCCATGTGTCCACCAGACTGCCCCTTGCATCGACAGCATCAAGCCGTCAAGCTGACCCACCTGCGCAGTGACGACCGTGCAGTGCACCTCCTTCTTGTGCGCCAGCATCAGCTCTTCATATGCCAGAGTGACCTGCACAATGGCGCTAAGGCTGTTCTCCTCCGCCAGCGCCTCTGTTGTGGGCAAAATCAGAAGGACGTGTCGTGCAGGATGCGACAGAGGCAAAAATAAAATCCACTTCAGTAAACTTTCTTCGACCACAGCATGCAGCTGCCCATGGCCGCGCTTGTCAAATCGTGGGGCTCGCAACGTATTATGGGTCATGCGGGAAGCACGAGATGACCATGGCGGGGTTTGGAGGCCAACGAAACTGGTTTGGGGGCACACAGACGTGCGACGTGCAAGGATATAGCCAGTGCCACAACCTTTTCATTACCCCGTGCATTTCGTCTATGTTAATTTGGTATAATTCCTTTGTGGCGCTATCATCACCCACCCATCAAGCGCTTGGTGACCTCCGAGACCTCCTTCGTCGCAAACATGTCACGCACGACTTTTTGGCGAAAGGCCGAAGGCAAAAAAGGGTCTGTAGCCAGGCGCCGGATCTCCGGATAAGTCTTGAAGACCTCCACCAGCTGCGGCAGCGACATCGGGCTTCTTAGCAAGCAGCACTCCCCCGTCGGTGTCCAGGCAATTTTCCAATGCATCTGAACGGTAGACGGAAAGTCTGCACGCGCACCTGGTATAGCTCATCCTGCACTTTGGTGAGAATGTTTTCCTTTGCTGCTACCTGCCAAGCCAGCGTGGCTATAGCCCCTGATGTACCGCTCAGCTGCAGAGGAGCCACTGGCTGCAAAACATTAAACTGGGCGTCACCGATAGTACACGCTTGGAGACACCAGCGCAGCCCTCAGGTAATGGCTAATGGTTGATACTTGCGATCCGACCCTCCTCACCAGCTTGTAATCCGTCTTAGGGGCGGACTTTGCAACAGCGGCAGCAGCGAAGCAGCGGACCTGGCCATAACGAAAGCGCCAATCAGAACTTGGTAATGGCCCTTATGAGGAAAGCCGATATAACTCCAAAATGCAACCTGACTAACCAGCTGGTGAGGCAGCTGAGCCTGCTCCGCGCGGCATGCTAGGAAGCATGCTGCCCGGGCCAACATATTCGCCTATCGGAAGCGAACTCAGGAAACGCGAAACTGGCTCGCGGCACACCTGCCGCTGCCGAAAATATTCCTATGAATAGACACAGTATAAAAACGGGGAATGGTGCACCAAGGAAACATTTGGTTTCAGCTCCAGGAGGGGAGTTGCGTACGGCACGGACTAAGGTCGTTGAAGTAGAGCTATATAACCTGCCGCGTGACCATGAGATAGCTTAGCTACACGCGCATTAGAAGCCGCAACAGCGATATTTTGCACAAATACGTTCAACAAATTATTTCTGGGTGGCTTGAGCGCGGGGTTGCGGACCGGCGACATCTGCCGACATCTCAACATTTCCGCGACTTCGTTGTCGCATGAAACATTCGACGCTGACGGCTTGCTCCAGATGCTCGCACTCGTACCATAATTGGTTTCGGCACAAGTCAGCCAGCCTAATTTCGTCGAGCTCAGTGCGCGGGAGAGCAAGCTGCCGGCGGTTGGCGGTTTGGTAGGGTCCTATTACGCGGGAGTATACTGACGGCGAGTATAGGCTTCCGAGATCCCTCAATTGACTGCTCGTGGCGAGCAAGCAAAATGAAGACCAGAAAGATTTGTCCGCTCGCCACCCGGATAAAGAAGATGATGCAGACGGACGACGACGTGGGCAAAATATCACAAGCCACGCCCATTTTGATTGGCAAGTTGAAACGGCGTTCATGTTAACGGTCCGTAGTTGGTTATGGAGGAACCGGCTCATCTCACCGTTTCCATGCAGGGCGCGCGATGGAGCTGTTCCTGGAGAAATTGTGCCGGCAAGCTATTTCTATAGCTCAGAGTCGTCAAGCAAAGACGCTTACACCAAGTCATTTGTAAGTTGGGTTCGCATGTATTCCCTCGTATTATGGCGCGCGAGTAGCGTTCAGCGGTACGACACACGGCCTACATACCATCTGCTTGCAGGAAAGCTGCCGTAAAGGCTGATACAACTCTAGATTTCCTGGCGGAGCTCGTGGCGCCAGCACCTGATCTGCCGGCTGTGGAAGCGGAGAACGGCGAGCCCGCACCGAAACCCAATAAGCGCCGCAGGTGTGCCTCTCCGAAGCTTCTTCGAAACGGCAATCTCCTGAAAGCAGCTTGTGTGTGGAAAGGGTACTGGACGCTGTACTATTTGAGTACTTGTGTTATGCGAGGAACGGCAGACTGTCGATTTCCAGGGCTCCTTCTAAAGTGTGATGATTGCTGTCCGTTGTCCGTGGGATACCCTTTTTGCTACTCCCTACTTGCGCTGGATTGCGTAGCGCCCTTGCCCTTGCGCCCTGTCTCGCGTGTACGCCAATGACTTCAAAGCTACTTTTCATACCAGATGGATTCACATTCCGCTTGTTCTGGCTGTTGTCAACGTGCTGTTCAACACAGGACCAACGACTCAGCTGATGGACTGACCTCACCAGAAGGCGGCCGCGGCCGTGGACGCAGCGGTGGCGGTGGCGGTGCGACAACTTCAGGTCAGGCCAACGATGAAACATCACCGGGGCCTCCCTCCAGAGGCCGCGGCTCCAAGCCACCTGTGCCGCCAGGAAGCCAGGGCCCCTCATCCCGCGGTACAAAGAAGGAATCGACCGGGAGGCGGGGATCAAAGGGCAAGGCGGCAGCGGCTGCCGCCGCAGCGGCAGCGGCAGCAGAAGCCCCGGAGGGGGGATCTTCGGATGCCGCGGAGCCGACCGGCAGCGCATCGCCACCGCCGCCGCCAACGGTCCAGGCGCCTTCAAGCGAAGCCCCTGTTCCAGGCCTACCTGCATTCGCTCCCTCGGTACAACCACCCAAACGGCAGGAGCCACCCATTAAGCAAGAAGCAAGCACCAAGCCAGAACCCGCAGCAGGTCCGCCACCGGCGGCTTCCAGTGGCGGGCCGTCCGGCGGCACTCCTGGGACCTCTATTGTGGCGTCACTTCGAGCGCAGCAGCCCTTCTTCGGATTGGGACGAAAGGGCAAGAACCTGGGGGGGAGCAAAAGCTCCGTCGGGGCCCCGTCACCTTCCTCCGCCCAAGGCCAGCAGGCTCAACGTGTCCAAACGCAGCACACGTCGCCCCAGCCGATGCTGGAGGCGCCGGCGTCTTCGAAAGCCACCGTGGCAGCACCGTCCACAGATGAAGGGCAATGGACACAGCAGGCGCAGCCCGGCATTTTCCCCCTGAGGCTTCAACCTCTGGACTCATCCGCGCACGCCGCTTCGGCGGCAGCAGGACTGGCGTTGCCAGACGCAGCTTCTGCGAGGCAAAGCGGGGCTAATGGCGTGAGGGGCCCAGAGAATGTTGGGGCGCAGCAGGCGGCCTTCGGGCAGGGTCGTGACGGCTCAGGCATGGGAGCGGAAGTGGGCGGGGGACAGGATGCGGGGTTTGGACAGGGGCAGCTAAGCATAGTGGGGTCGTGCGGCGGGCAGTTAGCTGCAGGGCCGAGCCTGGTGGGAGGAGCTGCTCAAGGGGGCCGTGCGGGCACCGGCTTGGGGTCGTTGATGGCGCCGCTGGGCGCATCATTTGCTTACTTCCAGGCGCCACAACAGCAGGGTGATATGGATGACGATTATGACAATTACTGATGCAATGTATGCAGGTTGCAGGTTGTTGAATATTCATGGGGAGTTAAGTATTCGTCGGGAGGTAGACCGGGGGGAAAGAGGGCGGGAGTTTTTCAGCTGAAGAAGACCGTTGTTCGCTGGTAGGACATGGTGTTTGTGTTACCCTTTGTATTTAGTAGTCGGTATGCATTTGAGAGCACGAATAGTCCGTTGGGAACAAGGAAAGGCTGCTGGTGTATGTCAGTGACCCGCTTATCATAAGCGCTGTTGTTTTAGGCGAACACAAGCGACTTGCCAGCAATGGCCGAGGTCGCAGGATGTGTCGTTTTCGGATGGTATACAAGGGAAGATGACTCACTGCATTGACATTTTGTACATATATAAAGCAGACGGACACCTGCGTCGCCAGGACACCTGGTTCATTGGCACCAGGGCAAATACCAGACATCAGATATTATTATTTGCCCTTCTTTGCCACTGTCTAACTCTCCTTGGCAAATGTAATGTTTCTTAGGCAAGCCCAACGATGGACAGGGCCATTTATCTGAGGCAGACAGGAAGAGTACCCAGGTCTGGGCTCAGCCAGCATGAAGCCTTCTGTGGCTATCTAGCACGCAAACAAGGGCGGGATGTCCGAGCACCAGCTGGAAAGGCAAGGGACGTGCGGGTCATGAACATCAAAATCATAAGTGTCTCCAAGGAAAACAGCAAGGGCGCTACTTTGTTTGCAAAGGAGCTGCTTGAAAAGCTCGAAAGGTTAGGATTCCAGGAAACTGGTGGCCATTGAGTTGTTCCGCGGCCTCAATGACCTGCTGTCCTTCTGTTCGCGTTCCAAGAGTGGCATGCTACGGTTGAGGCATACTCTTTTGCTAACATCTCTTGTAAATGCCGTCTTGCGGCCAGTACAACCTCAGTAGGGGCTGGCCATTATGGTCCTGCCGTTTCACCGCTGCTTGGGAAGCTAGAAGCTTCAGCTGCCTTGATGTGGGATATCAGCTTGCAAAGTTGAAACACAGACGTTCACACACAACATGTTCACTGGTCTTCAGCTTATCCCACCGCTGCTTGTCCCCCAGCTTGCAGTACGTAGGAATCGACTCTTGCGCGATGACGGTATGTCCCTCACGCTGTCAAACCACACGCGACACACGCAACCGTCATTGACCATACAGGTACGCCCCCGTGAGCAGCATCACCGTCAAACCCAATCCTCGGAACTCCCTCGACCCAGCGGTGCAACGCGAGACTGAAGGCGAGAGGGTACTCAAGGCCCTGGATCCCAGGGACTTCGTGGTAGTGTTGGACGAGCGCGGCAAGGAGGTACGGCATTGTACAGCCATATGGCTGTCTCACAACTCAATTCGAAAACTTTCAATGTACTTGCGTACTCCACAAGCTCCCCCAATGCAGCTTTCCCTTCACCCAGTCGCTGCCCTAGGGTCATCCTTCATCAACCCAAATCAACCCCAGCTCGCCCACTTCCACATCGTAAACCCAGATTTCCCGTGGGAATCAACCTGGCGGCCGCCCTCCCCCCGTTTGATTGATATGGCAGCTGCGAAGCGAGGACCTAGCCGACCTGGTCGCAGCCGCTGGCGACGAAGGGCGGCCCCTGGCGTTTTGCATCGGCGGGCCGTACGGACATAGCGATGCCGTACGTGCACGTGCTGACAGAATGCTGCGAATGTCCGCCATGGTTCTCAACCACCAGGCAAGTTTCGGTCACGGGGCCAGTGTGGAGCCGGGCTGGGACGTGGAGGGAACCCCCCAACTCTTTTGAAGCCGGGTAGTGGTTTTGGAGCCGGCTGGACGTAAGAACGAAGCCACATCCCTGGAACCTTCATCTTCGTGCGCTTCAGACGGACGAGGGATCACATTCAGCAACAAGTAATAAAGGGTCAAAGCTGCCGGCATACAAAGCATCAGCTGCCGTACGAGTCCAGAGAGTTGATGCGTGAACGGAGCAAGGGAGGTGCTGCGACCTTGTGTCAGTGCCCTCCCCACGTCGCGTCTTCATACCACACATGTACCTTTTGTGGTATCACGTGCACCACGGCACCGTACCGTAGTACCGTACCGTCTCGTGATCTGTATGTCTGTGCCACGGCCGAACCCCGACTGGCAGGTGGCGCTCGTGGTGCTCCTGGAGCAGCTGTACCGCGCTTGGACGATCTTGCGAGGTGTGCCGTACCATCATTGACGGGTCCCAGCAAACCCTTCGCCGCCGCCGCCGCCTCTTCCAGCTCCATCTTCTGCCTCTTCCCATGGTTGTTTAGTTCATGCAGTCCCGAGTCCTAGCTCCTCCATCCGTACACCCGTACATCCGTACACCCGTTG